GTATTAAGAACTGATAGGCTTCTGGGGCGCCTGGCTGGCTCAGTCATTAAGCATCTGCCTCTGGCTCAGGTCATGATCCCAGCATCCTGGGATTGAGCCCACATCAGGTTCCCTGCTTGCCCGGAAGCATGCTTCTCCATCTCCCATGCCCCCTGCTATGTTCCTGCTCTCACTGTGTCTTTCTCTGTCAAGTAAATAGATAAAATCTTAAAAAAGAAAAGAAATGATAGGCTTCTGGGTAAATTTTGGATATCCATATTTGCTAGTGGATGGAATATGGGATATGAAATAAAAGGAGTCAGAAGTGACTCCATTATTTTCATCATGAGCAAATGGAAAGTTGGATGTGCCATTTGGGGCAATGGAGATGACTATAGGGAGAGCAAGTACGTTGCTTCTCTACTGATCCTGTTAAGTCTGGGAGGCTCAAAGTTGATAAACTAGAATGTAAGAAACAATACATAATTCTTCCAGATGGCTGAAGTTAGCTAGAAGAACAGGGATTGAGGACAGTTTATCCCAGTCTACTTAAATTGAATATTCATCAAACCCAGACTCATGAAGCAAAGGTCAAATATTTCGCTCCAAAAACCAAAGTAGTAGAAAGAGACCCCAGCTCTCATCTTTCTTATCTGTCACTTGTGGTCTGATGAGAAGTTCCTCTCCCAGCCAGGGTGTCCTCCTCCAAGCTGGGGGGGACAGAGGCAATGGATAGAAGGCTACTTGCTCCTCTTGTAGTGAGGTTCAACTAATGGTGACATCTGGTAACATTTTCATAGCAATAGAGAATGGGTAATAACCAAAAATTGGATTTGGTTCTCAAAGTTTCTTGAAGGAGGAATGGTGGGCAGTAGGACTTTGAGTAGGATTCAGGGGTGTTTGTCTTTGCTTCCCTCCTGCTGCAGCATCACAAGTAAGGATCTGCACCTTATCAGTCCCATCTACCGTCACCCCCATTCAGAGTTGTTCCACCAATTGCAGGAGTTCATTTCTAATTTGCTTATTGGTTCCCAAGAAAAATCTAATACTTCTGGATAATGTTCCTTATTGGATCATCTGAATTCTCTTATGTAATGAAGGCAAGTTGAGTGATTTTGAAATAAAACATTTGCTGCTATTTAAAAGTTGTATCTACTTTTCTTTATCCCAAATACAGTATGACTAACCTAAATATCTTTAACTTTTTCTGTTTCCCGTTTCCTCTCTTTACAAGGCAAGACAGTCTTTGAAAACATTCTACAAAAAAACAAAAAAATCGAAAAACAAAAACAACTTCCCAATTTAGAAACATTTGGCCTTCATGTTCACACTCTTTGTTCAGTTCCCTTTCTTCTCATCTTTACTGCAGTTGTGGAAGGGAGGCTACTGTGGGTCAAGCAAGAGCCTGAAGACCCTGATCCAGATTTTGATTCCTTAGCTACCCTGTGTTGGCTACCATAAGAATCAAAGGCTTTCATAAACTACTAAACGACCAGTTAGTTAACTAAGTCATGCATTTTTATTCCAAGAGGACGCTTTTTATGTTTATCTAGTTGCAAAGAAAAGAAATAAGCTTATGAATCATATCCGAGTCAGATTACACTGAAAGCTGGGAAGGGATATTGAAACTGGCAGGCAGTATGTTTTAATTTGATGTTTCTATATTACATATATATGCTAATATTTGAATTCATTTGAGTCTTTCTGTATCCCATATCTTTCTCCAGGTGATTAAAGGAAGATATAGGATACTGAGTCGCAAATGTACATATATATGAAAATGAGAGAGAACACAAATAAGTGAAAATGTGTGAGATTGCACAGATAGTCCAAATGTGTTATTAACCAGATGTACTCTCCACAGACTTACATTCTACTAGCCTCATTTTCTTTTTTTAATAAAAACATTATAGTACTGATCTACTGTTATTTCCTTAAGTTCCCTAATCTTTTCATCTGCAGAGTTTAATCTGCTCTTTTTCCAGCTTTATTGTCATATTATTAAGGACATAGCACATATGTAAGTTTAAAGTATACAATGTAACGATTTGATATGCATATATAGTGAAATGATTACAACAATAAAATTAGTTAACACCCCATCCCTTCACATAATTACCTTTGTGTGTGTGTGTGTGGTGATAACATTAATTAATTTATTTATTCTAAGTTGTTTATTGATTAATTGCAGAAGAGAGAGTGCATGTGTCCATGTGTAAGCAAGAGGGAGAAGGAGAGGGAGAATCTCAAGCAGAATCTGGGCTGAGCACAGAGCCCTACAGGGGTGGCTGAATCCCAATGACCCTGAGATCATGACCTGAGCCAAAATCAAGAGTCAAATGCTTAATGGACTGAGCCACCAAAGCACCCTTGTGGTGATAACATTTAAAACCTATTCTCTTCACAACTTGCAGGCATATAATACATTATTATTAATTATAGTCACCATGATATACATTAGATCCACAGAACTTATTCATCTTATAACTGGGAGTTTACACCCTTTGAGCAACTTCTCCCCATTTTCCCCATTCCCCAACCCCTGGCAACTACCATCCTTTTCTCTATTTCTATGAATTCAGCTTTTTAAAATTCTACATGTAAGTGACAATATATAGTATTTGTCCTTCTGTGGGTGACTTATTTTACTTTTCATAATGTTCTCAAGGTCTCCATCGATGTCATTGGTATATATAGAAATCTATGTATATAGATGTATAGATACAGATATAGATCTCATATCTTCTTTACCAATTCATCCATCAGTAGACAGATTATTTCTATATCTTGGCTAATGTGACTAATGCTGCATAAACAGGGGGGTGCATATGTCTCTAAGATAGTAGTTTCATTTCCTTTGGAAATATACCTGGAAAAGGATTGCTAGATCCTATGGTAGTTCTATTTTTAACTTCTTGAGGAACCTCCATACTGCTTTCCCACAGTGACTTCACCAGTTTGCATTCCCACCAACAGTGCACAAGAGTACTTTTCTCCACATCCTTGCCAACACTTGTTCTCTCTTGTCTTTTTGATAATAGCCATTTTTACAGGTGTGAGGTGACGCCTCATTGTGGTTTTGATTTGCCTTTCCCTGACGTGAATCTAATCTACTATTAATCCATCTAGCCAATTTCTTGCGGTTCCTTCCACACTTAATCTCTTTCCTCTTTTATCAGGTTTACCACATCCCAATCTAGGTTCTGCTGGGACTTTTTGTTCACAGCCTGCCACCCAGGAAAGGATATGGGGCAGCTCCTGAGGGCTGTCTTTGTTGCCTTGTAGAGAGAGGCCTCTATAGCATCTTCCAGCATAGGAGATCTAATAGCTATTATAGGGAATGGTGGGGTAGTTCTGAAAGTACTGAGTGTTCAGTGGTATCTGTATAGCCAAAATCCTGAAGGGCAGACATTCAGATATCCTCCATCCCATATTTAAGTATCCCAGGTTTTCCCAACCAGGGCCCTATCTGCTCGCTCTCTCTCTCTCTCTCTTCTGTCAAATAAATAAATAAAATCTTAAAAAATATTTTTGAAAATTATGTTTCTTGTATTTGCATTTGATATATATAGTTTTCATGGAAAAGCTTACGTAGGGAGTTCTAAACCTATTGACAAGCTTCTGACTCATGCACATTTCCCTGTGAAAGTGTTGCACTGTAGCTTTTTCTTGACTCTAAGTCATGGAAACAGTGGACTGACTGGATATAAAGACATTGAGTCAGGTTGGACATGCACCTGATATTTCCGGCATCAGAAATTCTAAGAAAAAATGTGACAAACATTTATCAGCTATGATTTGATCAAAGGCAGTTTATACCATCAACACCCCTTTTGTCTTTGACCTCAGAAGCAATTAACAGCTTTCATTCTTCCATTCTTTGTGTGCTTAGGAGTGAAGGTAGGGGCTGGTCCTAGCAGGATAACGCATGTGGTTGACATCTTTACCCTTGAGAAATAATTGTTTCCTAACTCCAGGGACATAGTTCCAGCAAAGCTTTACTTGACTCTCTCTGCAAAGGAGGTTTAGGCAGTGTATGAACAACTCTGAAATCTGGGATAAGACAAAAACAGGAAGCTTGAGAGCTCTTGTCCTATTTCTCTTTATTTCTCAAGCCTTTCCTTTTTTTTTCATCTTCCTGTCTTTTCTTCTTGCACTGTCATTCTTCTTGTTCCCTGTGTTCCTACGCAAATCCTTTGGGCAGTCCAGAGGTATCCAAGTTTTCCATGAGGGGTGTCACCACTGTTTGCATCCAGGGCTGGCTGAGGAATTACTGACCTTAGAGCTGAGAAAGAGCAGAGGGAAACCAAATGAAGTTCTCTCACAGCTCTTCAGGAGCTCATCTGTCTCTTACTCTTTTTTTTTCTTTTTTAACCACGTATCATTAAGATTTATTCCAAAACCTCTCTCTAAGATACTTGACCTCCAAAAATATTACACTGCCCCAAATTAGAATGAGGATACCTTCACAGTGGGATGTTGTTTATTAAAAACAAAAGCAAAATCGTACTTCTTTTATATGCATAGAGAGTCTCCACTTGGGCCAGAGTGTGTCTTCCCTTGGAGTCAAGACGAATGTATTTATAACAGGAGCATCCTGAAGAGTGGTCAGGTGACGAGGTCCTAAATCCTCCCAAGGTTAGAAGGAACCAGATAGGATGTTTTCCTATCAGTAGTTCTCAAACTTTATCAGGCCTCAAAATTACCTACAAGCCTTGTTAAAATTCAGATCGTTTGGTCCCACCCCTGGAATTTCTGACTCAACAGGTCGGGGTAGGGCCCAAGAATTTACATGTTTGAGTCTCTTCCAGCTGTTAATGATGCTGTTCATCCACAGGATTTCTGACTTTGGACATTGCAAGGGAGGACACTCTCTGAGGGTGGTGTGTAGGGTGCAGTCCTGACCCCTTCCGGCCTCATGGATTGACACCATGTCCTCTCGAGACAGAGACAAAGTAAGTGAAACATCTCTGAGGCTCTGGAGTGCTTGGTTTTCATCTCTTTCTAATTGAATCTAACAGGAGAAGGGGGAAGTTATTCTCATCCACAGTCAGAGCCCTCCACCTCGAGTGTCCAAAGGTTCTAAGGCATCGCAGGCAGTGCTTGGTGGGAACGATGAAACAGATGCAGTGCTCAGTGCTGGTATGTATGTCTCCTGAAACACATTTGTTCTGTTGATGATGGTCGCGCTGGTGGACTTTAACTCCTTTGGTCAGAATTTTTCCGAAGGCCCTTGAGTGGCATCATTTTAATATCAAATTATAGTTCTTGAACTTTCTATAATTTGCAATTTGCCCATTGACTGGGTACATGCTCCCAGGGTTTCAATAATGTGTACATTCAATAAATTAGAGACAGCTTAGTCTCTAAGCTTAAATTAATGCTATGATTCTTACTTAAAGAATGAGATAAAAAGCAAAGAAAAACATGACTTGCTTCAGGCCACAGAGGCTGGTGGCAGAATTAGAAATTGGAGAGAGAACACTCCCTAACCTTCTTCATGGATCACACACATTTGTTGCCATTAGATATTCTTTTAAACTGCTGACCCTTTTCAAGCAAAAAAGGTCAATTCTGATTATTATTGCATGCTAGTGACACGAGGAAGAAAATGTGTTTGGCTAACTGGGAAACAGGTAAATCCACTGTTTTTTGTTTTGTTTTGTTTTTGTTTTTATAAATCTGGGCTTGCTTTAGCAAGGGTTGAAGACACAAAACTCCATGACAAGGTCTGTGGGGGGAAAGAGTTCTATTTTTCAGGAAAGAGAGTTATGAAGGAGAAGGAAGGTAAATAAAGTGTGCTGCTCATTTTGGGGTGAAAATGAAATCATTTTTCCTACAGTCTTTAGGGACAGATGCAATCTTCCTCCACAGAACAAATAAATACCAGGAAAAAATGAGACTGTCACAGACGGAAGAGAAGCTTCCCCTACTATGTATAGGACCAAGAGTAGGTTTAAAATCATCTCCAAAGCTGGATTATCTCTGGATTTATATAACACAAAGAAACTTTAAAAGGGGTATATAGAGTATAACTCTTCATAGGATCTTCAGAGAAGGCTTCGTTTTGAAGCCACAGCCCTAAATGTTATATAATATCCAGGCTCTAATGTTATTAGGTTATTGAAACATGCATGGAGTTCATGAATGCTTTGAAAATATGACACAAATAGCATCAAACATTATATTTGTGGTTTCAGAAAAATGGTGGCTTTTCTAGTAAAATTAATGTACCAGATCCGGCAATGGTATTAGAAGAATCATATGTCTTTTCACAAGTTTGGAAACTAAGAGAGCCCCAGCCAAGTGTGTATTGTGTAAATGCATTGAGGATAAGATAGTTCTAAAGAAGACCATCTTCATACTATGGATGGATGAGAAATATTTCCTGAAGAAGTGGACACTTTCATCATTCTTCCAGCTGCTAAAAACTGGTGAAATTGAGGGCTCACTTTGCCTTATAGATGATGTTCAAAGTAAAAATACATGGGGTGGTTTTGTAATTGTCACTACATGATCAGGTATCTTCCCCATAGAGGTGGCTCTAAGGTATAGATTTAAAACTGAGCTGCCATTTAGCTTAGGTAGGGTGATTTTTTTTAAACCACAATACCAGGCTATGTCCAAGACAATTAAATCAGAGTATTAGGGATGAACCCTAGGCCGCAGTTACTGATTTTATTATTATTTTTACTTTTACAGCTATATTGAGGTATAATTGATACACGTAGTTGACCCTTGAACACAGGTTTAAACTGCATGGGTCCACTCATATGCAGATTTCCTATAGCACCCTACAATCAATGCATTTTCTCTTCCTTATGGCTTCCTTAAGAACATTTTTTCCTCTAGCTTACTTTATTGTAAGAATACAGTTTATAGTGTATATAACATATAAAATACATGTTAAATGACTATGTCATCAGTAAGGCTTCTGGTCAACAACAGACGATTTGTAGTTAAGTTCTGGAGAGTCAAAACTTATATGTCAACTTTCAGCTACATGGGGGGTATGCTTGGGCTCCTAATCCCCGCATTGTTCAAGGGTCAACTGTACAAAAATACTACCTATATTTAATGTGTATAATTTGATGAGTTTAGACATGTGCAAACACTGATGATACCATCACTACAAGGTAATAAGCCATATGCAACCCCTCCCAGAGTTTTCTTGTGTCCCTCTAGGTTTTTTTGTCTGTTTGTTTTATTTTGTTTTGTTTTGCAGTAAGAATACTCACATGAGATTTATCCTCTTGACAAATTCTGAGTGCGCCATGTTGTTACCGTAGATTCCATGATGCCGCACAGATCTCTAGCACTTATTCGTCTAGCAGAACTTAAATATTTTGCCTACTGAATAACAATAACCCATTTTCCCCTCTACCCAGTCCCTGGAAACCACTATTATATTCTCTGCTTCTATGAATTTGACTCTTTTTGATACATGTGGAATCATGCAATGTTCATCCCACTATGACTAGTTTATTTATTTCACTTAGGATGTCCTCCAGATTCATCCATGTTGTCACAAAGAGCAAGATCTCCTTTTTTAAGGCTGAATAATATTCCTGTGTGTGTGTGTGTGTGTGTGTGTGTGTGTGTGATACTTCCTTTAGCCATTCATCTGTTGAGGGACATTTGGGTCATTTTCACTTCTTCACTATTATGAATATTGTTACAATGAACATGGGAGCACAGATATCTCTTTGAGATCCTGATTTCAATGTTTGGATATCTACCCAGAAGTGAGATTGCTGGATATATGGTAGCTCTATTTTTAAGTTTTTGAGGAATCTCCATGCTATTTTTCATAGTTGTTATTACACCATTTCATAGTCCCACCAACAGTATTCTGCAGCTTCTCCAATGCTTATCTTTTTGTGTTTTAAATAATATTCATTCTAGCAGATATGAAGTGACAGCTTATGGTACTTTTTTCTCTTTTTTCTTCTTCACTGTGATGTTTTTAACCTCAGAACAAAGAGTAAATCATTTATCTTCCACACTTTCTTTATTGTACTTTTGATTAGCATTTTCCTGATAATTAATGACATTAAGCATCTTTCTGTACAACCATTGGCCATTTTGCAGGATACAACATTGATATACAAAACTGGTTGCATTTCCATTCACTGATAATGAACCATCTAAAAAAAAATTAAGAAAACAATCCTACCTACAATAGCATCAAAAAGGATAGTATACTTAGGAATGAACTTTCTTTTCTATAGAAATAGAAAAATAATTCTAAAGTTCATGTGGTTTCATAAAGGAATTGGAATAACCAAAGGAAGCTTGGAAAAGAACAAACAAGGTGGAGGCATCACATGTTCTGATTTCCAAGTATATTACATAGTTGCAGTAATTAAAACATGCAGCATGGTATTGGCATACACAGACATATATATTAACAGATCAGAATAGAGAGCCCAGAAATAAACCTATGCATAAATAATCAACTGATCATTGAAAAGGAATGGGGAAAGAATAGTCTGTTCCACAAACATTGTTGGGAAAACTGGATACACACATGCAAAAGAAAGAACTTGGCCCCTTGTACTAAAGGAAACTATGCTACTGGACCCTATACTAAAATCAACACAAAATGCATTGAAGACTTAAATGTGAGACTAGAAACTGTAAAACTCCTAGAAGAAAACATAGAGGAAAACTTCCTTGACATTGGACTTGGCAATGACTTCTTGGAGATGACACCAAAAGCATAGACAACATAAGCAAAAATAGACAAGTTAGGACAACATCAAACTAAAAATTTTCTGTACAGCAAAGGAAACAACCAACAAGAATAAAAAGGGAACCTAAGGCATAGGAGAAAACATTTGCAAACCATATACATAATAAAGGGTTGATTTCCAAAAGGTATAAGGAGCTCCTAAAACTCAATAGCAAAAAGCAAATGCCCTGGCTTAAAAATGGGTAAAGGACTTGAACATTTTCCCAAAGATGTCAGTTACTGTTTCTAATGCTCTGCAGATGACTCCCTGTACAGCTTTACTGCTTCTAGGGGTCTCGGGTGAAACTCCTGTGTGTAATAGGTAGCTCCTAAGTGGCCTACCTGTATTTACCCTTTTTTACAACATGATTTGTCACAGTAGTCTGAGTCTATTCTATTGAGATTTTCCATGTGTATAAACTCATTATTTTGGTAGTTACCACATACAGATACCCATAAATAAAATGCAAACTAACATAGAGTTTGGTTATCTATTTCTTAGAGTTGTCTCTATTAGTTTCCTATGCCCGCTGTAAGAAATTACTACAGATATAGGGGTTTAAAACAATACAAATTTATCACAAGTTCTGGAGGTCAGCGTCTGAAGTGAGTCTTACGGGTCTAACTCAAGGTACCCACATAGCTGTGTTCCTTCTGGAGGTTCTAGGACAGAATCTATTCCTTGCCTTTTCCTGCTTCTAGAAGCTGCCTGGATTCCTTGGGTTGTGACTCTAATCTCTGTTTCCATCATCATGTCTCCTTCTCTGACTCTCACATTCCTGCCTTTTTTCTGGGGGGGTAGGTAAGGACTTTTTTGGTTACACTAGGTCTACCTGGGGTCCACCTTTTCCAGGATCATCTTCTTATCTCAATATATTTAACTTAATGACATTTGCAAAGTCCTTTTCCATAAAAGTTAACATAATCCCAGGTTTTGGGGAGTCAGATGTATTTGGGGGCCACTATTTTTTTTAAAGATTTTATTTATTTATTTGACAGACAGAGATCACAAGTAGGCAGAGAGGCAGAGAGAGAGGAGGAAGCAGGCTCCCTGCTGAGCAGAGAGCCCAATACGGGGCTCAATCCCAGGACCCTGAGACCATGACCCGAGCTGAAGGCAGAGGCTTTATAACCCACTAAGCCACCCAGGTGCCCCTGGGGCCCACTATTTTACCTACAATAAGATAAATAAACTACCATGCGATGGGACATGAACAGAGCGTTATTGAATTTACATTGTATTAAGCTGGGGTTCATTTTGCCAGTCCCATTGGTTCAAACACTGATCGACAACACGTATTCATAGCAGTGAGGATTGTGAGAATCTCTCTCCACAGTGTCACATATGATCATAACGTCAGCATTTGTCTCATTCAATTTTTCAATGCATTTGTTCAATTTTTTCCTAAAAAAAATAGCTGCCAGTGTGAGCACGCTCATATTCCAGCATCCTGCCCGGTTTCCGTTGTTTGAATGGCAGAGGAGTATAATCCTCGTGTGTATTCTCTGTAATGCTGGGACGCTGGCCCTTACACTTCAATATAGTAGAACATATGGTGCTCTAGGCTGTCCTCCTTGTGCTCATCATTCATTCAATAGATAATTTCTAAGTACTTAACTAGGTGTTGTAGCATTTTAGTTGCTCAATCAAGAGACCCCAGAAATCACTCCACAGGATTCACATGCATACATGATAAAAGACTCAACCTTTGAACTCCTAACCCCAGAGAAGGTCAACCACCAGGCTAGAGGGATTCATTTTGAACATCTCACATTCAGCGAATCTGGGTGACTTTGATGGGTCACTATCACAGAGAGAGTGCTTCTGCGGAATAGAGTTGTGCCACCTCTCAGGCTGCAAGCCAGCCTACCTGTGGCTGGTTTTGACAGATGCTCATTCCTGGTCAAACTACTGTGGCCAGTATTGTCGTGAGGGCTAAAGCCTGAGGATTTGTCTCAAAGACCCCCCAGAAAGAGGTCTGGAGCATTCATGAGCATTCTGAGGTTTCTCTGAGTGAGGCAGTGTCTATAGGGGGGCAACATGTTTAGTGTATCCAGGACAAAATGCACAGGTTATTGTTGTTATTGCATATTTCACTCATTCTCATTTTTAAACTATTCTTTCTCCCTCCATAGGTGTGGATACATTTCAACCCATTCATTTTTTAACTGCAAACTACTGTCATCTCACTTTCTCATTTTCTGATTCTTGCATCTTATGGAGAATGCAAAACAGATGCTTTCTAATATTCTGTTTTGGTCACCTTTGTATCTTGAGTTCAGTGGTTTATTGTGTTATGTTTAAGAATTCTAAGCTTTAATGCTTATGGTAGCAATGTCCACAATAGCCAAACTATGGAAAGAGCCTAGATGTCCATCAACAGATGAATGGATAAAGAAGATGTGGTGTATATCTACAATGGAATATTATGCAGTTATCAAAAAACCCAAAATCTTGCCTTTTGCAATGACATGGATGGAACTAGAAGGTATTATGTTAAGTGAAATAAGTCAGTCAGAGAAAGACAATTATCATATGATCTCACTGATATGAGGAATTTGAGAAATAAGACAGAAGATCATAGGGGAAGGGAGGGAAAGATGAAACTAAATGAAACCAGAGAGAGAGACAAACCACAAAAGATTGTTAAACTCAGGAAACAAACTGAGGGTTGCTGGACTGGAGGGAGGGCTGGTAGAAGGGATAGGGTGGCTGGGTGATGGACACTGGAGAGGGTATGTGCTATGGTGAGTGCTGTGAATTGTGTAAGACTGAGGAATCACAGACCTGTACCTCTGAAACATATAATACATTATACGTAAATTTAAAAAAAAAAAGAATTCTAAGCTTCATCTGGGATTTTCTCTTTTCTCTTCCTTGAATGATTATAAGTCCATAAGACATGGTGCGTATCACATATAAGGTCAATGACTTTCACTTTGTCTCTCTCACTAACTAGCAACTATTAGAATTTGCCTTTCATTTTTGAAGCCACTAATTAAATATTTGGTACCTATCTCATATAGTTTTCCTGAACTCATTTCCTGAATTCATCCTCTACTCTGCCTAGATAGCTATGGATTAATTCCTAGATATGTGGAAGTCATGTGTAGTTTATCCCTTGTCCAGAACAGTGCTTAAAGTCTACAAATGCACAGGTTTCTGCTTATAGGGGTCTTTCAGTCTTTCAATCCCATCGTCATGTTCCAAGGTACCACATATCACCACGTGTTCACCCCACACGAGCAGCATTGGATACTCGGAACTGTGGTTTCCAAATCAAACTAGAAGAAGAGGTAGCTTCATGGGGGCGCCATTGTAACTGTCTGAGCAACTGCAAACCAACTTTGCCTCTAGGGAGAACGTGAAGGGTAGAAGAGCAAGGGGTTAGGCTTCCAAGTCTCCTGTTATAGCTCAGAGTGTGAACACAGGGCACACTCTGCTTCATCAGAGATCACTGGCAGCTGAGCTCAGGCTCAGGCTCAGGCTCTGGAGAGATGAGGCTTTGAGCATTGTAGCATATGATGGAGAATAGTCCCGCAGAGGCCAAGATGCTCTGCTGGAAAGGGAAGCAGCTGGCAGGTGCAGAGTCGTCAGCAGACGCCTGATCAATCAGACCATCCAGCATCTCCCGCAGCCAGACCCGCTTGTGAGCCCACAGGAGACACTTCCAAGAATAATTCCTGGGTTCTTCACAGAGGGCTACAATTTTACAGAACCAGCTTACACCAGAGTCAGGGGCATTTGAAGTTACTACCATCAGAGACTCCATTTTTCCAGCATTCCAAACAAAGAGAGCCAAGCTTCCAGGCTTCTCTACTCAGCAAGCCTAACTTTTCAAAAAATTGTTTTACCGGTGGTGAGAGGGCCCTCTTTATTCACCTGAAGCACTGCTGACAGAGACCAAATGAGCCTAGTCGTGTGAGGAGGCACAAAACAGTGATGTTGGTGGAACAAGAACAACTCCTGAAGAGAGAGAAGGCATATGCTCAAGGCATTGGCATGGGCAGAGCAACAGCTACAGATGCTACCCTCCATCGTAGGGGGTGCAGTGGGGGTGTGCAGTGATTTCTTGGAGCTGAGGAATTCAGTGGGGAGTTACAAGAATGGCCTGCATTGGATGGGGGTACTCGAAGGTCTGGAATTCCAGGACCTTAGTGGAAACTGAGAGTAAAGGCTTTTCTTTATCATTATTATTTTTTAAAGATTTTATTTATTTACTTGACAGATCACAAGTAGGCAGAGAGGCAGGCAGAGAGAGAAGGAGGGGAAGCAGGCTCCCTGCTGAGCAGAGAGCCCAATGCGGGGCTTAATCCCAAGACCCTGGGATCATGACCTGAGCCGAAGGCAGAGGCTTAAACCACTGAGCCACCCAGGCATCCCTTCTTTATTATTTTTAATTTACACTCACACTTTGGTTGTAGCCTCATCCTCTGCTACTGTAGAAGCCACGGAGGCAGGGTTTCTGAAGTTTGCTCCGTTACGGCGCTCAGTCCACAGAATAGAAATACTACCCAGGACGCGAATGGACAGTGAAGGCCTTATCTTTCCTGTGGTTCAAATTTTAGGTTAAAAAAGTAGGGGTATCATTTAAAGAAGATGGAAAAATAAGCTAAAGACACCTCCAACAGAAAAAAAGAGTGTGACAATGAAAGATGTATGTCTTTTATGGCAATAATCAAATCACCTCAGGAGCAGGAAACTACATTCAAAAAACATCTCCCTGCATCCAGGCCTGATAATAAACCAGCAAGCAAAGCATAAGCAAATCCTGCAACTAGGAGAAAGGCAAAATAAAAAATGAGCCAGGGAAAATTTGCACGCAACGGGCGTGGGACCTGGAGCCTATCTCTACCTGGAAATCAGTGCAGAGATTCTGAATCTGTGTCCAAGAACATACTTGGGAGTGGAAAGGTGATGGCCTTCCCCCTCCAACTCACTGTTTCTTCATAATCATCTATGTGCTCGAATCCTTGTCAGTAATTATGCAGAGCAACTTAATTTTTGCAGTGCTGAGCAGAGAGGCTGTCATTGATGGACTTGTTTCCCACCTGCCTGGGCATCTGCTGCTTCTGTCTACAGAGGGTGTCGGTGCTGAACAATTTTTGCTCCTAGTTTAACCCTAACTATGTATTTTGATACTAATCAATCACCTGGGAATTTACTAGTACTCTTATAGGTTAACCAGCTTGCTCGCTGTCTTCCACTGCATCAAGGGTCAACTCTTTTACCCACCCATCTTCCTCTGGCCCACGTGGAGAATTTTCAGGTTCGTTCGTTGGCTGTTGCTAACTTCTCTGTTGATTTCTTGTGTGTCAATCACCATTTCAGCTACTAGGAATTATATTAATGTTCACTTAATCACTGTGGGGCTTTTCTCTATAAACAGCCTTGATTGAGAGACTTAAGACGTTTCACCTGTATTTTACCATATCTTACCAAACAGTTGCAATTTTTATTTCTTTCCTCCTATTCCTGGCCTCCACCATCTCACTCAGCCTCCCTGTTCCAACACATGGAGTAGATACAACACCCCAGCACTGGCCACTACAGTTCTAGCGTGAAAGCTCACACCACTGCCCTAAAGTCTTTTGCCATCTTCCTTATTTTCTTCACCTCTTACTTTCTGACTACTCATCTCTGTTATGAGCATCTCATTGGATAAGAGATCTTGGTTCTGGGTCTGGGAAGTTGTCATCTATGCAATAGGCCCTACTCACTCCTCTTCACTAATGCTGAGCAGCTCTAAATTGAAAGAGGTTTTAAAGGTAAGGTGCTGGGGCCTGGAGGCTGCCTGAGGCACAGGGTACAATAAGACCCCTGGGCAAAGGGGAGTTTGCATTGACACAACTAATGCCAATAACCAGCACTGCTCTTGACATTCCTCCATGGGATAGTGATACACCATAAATGCTAGCCACATTCTCCTTCAGCCCCACAGCCACCTAATTCTAATCAATCCTCTCTCCATTCTAGAATGTTCCTTTACCTTCCACAGTCACCAAGTTGGTCTCAACTTTCTCATGACTTACCTGTAACTCTTAGTCCTGTCTACCCCTGGAATCTGACTCCCAGTATATCATACACAAGAGAGACAAAACCATAATGCCCATAGACCATTTTTATTTTATTCTTTTCGTGACTGCCAGTTACTTTCCACATTAATACGAATCCCTTCCCCACAAGAATTTGTTGCCCATGCCCTGAATGCTCTCCATGCCAAGCCCTCAATCCACTTTTCTAACTTTAGTCAAAAAAAGGTCTTGCCATCTCTCTCTCTGCTGCTTCTGAATCTTTATCCAATGACATAAATTTCCTTGCTTCTCTACCAAACACTGTTCCTTCATTCCTTTAAAACTCAAGTTAAAATGTAACTCTTCTTTCATTTTTGTTCACCATGACACTATACTCTTCCCAGAATAGCAGAATACTTCACAAGTCTGGGTTCACCCTTGAATCTATCCATATATTAATAACCAAATTGGATCAGTTGTATATGGTTTCCATTGGCTGGATTCTTGCCCTTCTATTATACTTCAATTTGGACTAAACTTTAGGAAGACTTCTAGATTGAGGCTTAGCTGGTTTTGGACATATAACCCAAGTGTCAGCTGAGAACTCCTCTTACTTTGTAAAATCTGTGTCACATTAGCTTAAATTTTCTATTCTCTTCTATCTGTGCTCTGTCACATTCCAAAGCCCTTTTAAAATGGATAAGAATATGAGAACCTCCTAGTCCTCAATTGAAAATCACCTATAGGACTTCCCTGTTCTCTAGAAGCCCTGTTCAGCCTCCTTAACCCCACAGATTTATCTCATACCCTTTTCCTTGCAAGACTCAGTCCTACCTTCTCCCCACGACATCTCTTTCATCATTTCTCTCCTCTGCACCCTCACCCACTAGCAACAAAGTATCTTGGCAACAGCCAACTCTCAGGCCTTTGAGCCTCAACTTCCAACTGCTCCAGACACACATCAAGGTGTTTTTCCCTAAAGGCAGCTTCATCTCTGAAGGCATTCTGGTGCCAGAGCTTTTGCCTTTTATATAAATTGGACATGGCTGATGAACTGAACTTCTGGCTCTCTCATTAGAAACCTGAAACACCTTCTGAGAGAAAACCATCCTACGAGAGAAACAATGTCAAGCTAGACTGTGAATGAAAGACTTAGGCCCTGGAAGGGAATGGAAATTCTCATCTGCTCTTGGTCTGTCACTCCAATTTGTCTCCTGGTCAAGCCATCCCTTGAATTCGTATTTGCAAAGTAGAAGTACCATCGGAAAGAACACTTTCCCTAGAGACTGTGCAATTCGGCATACCTCAGCAGCACAGCTACTGTTGCCCAGAGAGGGCAGTGAAGTCTGTTTTACCACTTCACCACAGCATCTGTGAGGACTTGGCATTTCCCAAGCTCCAAGGATTCAACTCTGGTGGAAGGTGGGTGGAACATGGCGGGTGCAGTAATATCTGGGGAGCACAATCATAACCCAGTGAAGTGGGACTGAGAAGGAAAAAGGAAAATAAGAGGTAGATGTCAGCCTTGTGTTATCAGACAGGATACCTCCAGGAATACTTAGGAAGCTGGTCTGGGGGTGAACTGCAAGGATTTGGGATCCCAGTGGGAATGGTGGGACAAGAGCTGGTAGAATTTGAATTACTGCCATTGGTCAATTGTAGTATCCATATCTTGCATGCTGTAAAATCTCAGAAAGCTGAAAAAAAAAAAAAAAACCCAAAACCGTAATCTCCATATATGTATAGAGAACAGGAGGGGGGAAAAAAAAAACTTCCCCTCAAGTATCACATATATAGACATTCTTCCAGAAGTGGTTAAATATTTGTCATACTCTATCTTCTTTTGTATAAAGTGCAACAGAAAACTTATTCTGGATATACATAAGGTATTAGGGGTAGCTGAAGGGATCCAGCAATAAAAAAAATAGTAAGATAGAAACTTAAAAAATAATAGGATAGAAATAATAACTATCCCTTATATTTGTGGCACCTAATAATTTACGAAGAGCTTTCACATACATTTTATCATTTCCAACCAAAAAGACAAGGCAAGGTCATCCAATCCAACTCAGCTGGAAAAGAGACCTTAAAAAGTCAGTGAATTACCTAAATTCATACTGCTGGTTAATACCAGACCTAAGAATCAAAGGAAAAGAAAAGGAAACCAAGGGATAAATTTTAAAGAAGTGAAGAGTTTTGATTTGGGAAAAGATGGTTAGCACTTAACCAGGGAAATACTTTATAAAGAATAACAGTGATGTTTGGACCAAGAATAAGGAAAATTCTCTTTCAGAGTTGAAGTTAGCTAGAACTTTTCCAACTTTTAAATAGTCTACCCTATATAATATTCATTTTTTTTAAGATTTTATTTATCTATTTGACAGAGAGAGAGAGATCACAAGTAGGCAGAGAGGCAGGCAGAGAGAGGGGGAAGCAGGCTCCCTGCCGAGCAGAGCGCCCGATGTGGGGCTCGATCCCAGGACCCTGAGATCATGACCTGAGCCGAAGGCAGAGGTTTAACCCACTGAGCCACCCAGGCTCCCCTATAATATTCATTTTTTAAAAAAAGATTTTTTCTTTATTTGAGAGAGAGAGAGGTAACAACAGAGATAGTGAGAAAGCACATGAGCTGAGAGGAGAGGGAGAAGTAGGCTCCCCGCTGAGCAGGAGCCCAATGTGGGGCTTGAACCCAGGATCATGACCTGAGCTGAAGGCAGCCGCTTAACCGACTGAGCCACCCAGGTGCCCTTATATAACGGTCACTATTAACATTCGTTAACACACATACATAGAACATATTTGCCTGATAACTTGCAATAAACAGGGAGTAGAAAAATAAAGAAGGCTGTGACTCTGGTTTTTAGGAGCAGATGTTTAGAAGCCCATGGGTGGTGGTGGTGAGCTCAGGAGGAGCCATGTGGGTGCTGCGGCCAGCACCCATATGTACCCATATACTATGTACACACCAAAACTCTCCACCCTTCTTCACACAATGCCCCATGAGCTGAAGCCTGAAACTCTACTGAATTTGTTGTCGAGTTGCAAGTGTGTTTCGGTCAAGCCTGGTTTCTGTGTGCCCTCCCTGTATAGCTGCGTCACCTCCATGGGGACCATGCACAGGAGCCAGCCACAGAGTCAGGGAAGATAAGGGTTTGGCACTCAGGGCATTGGGGGTGCCTGTGGGTCAACAGGAGTGAACCTCAAGTGAGGTTCTCCCAGCAACTCAACCCTATTCCACATATTCTTATGTGCCTCTTTTCCATTCTCCTCCCTACCCCGAGTCAGGGAAATCCTGTTTGAATACTCCGGGTGTCATAGGAAAGTAGTGTCCCCCACAGCTGGGGAAATCAAGCACTCACTCAACGCTTTCTCTTTCTCCTACGGCAGAGGTGGCCACACCTACGCCAATGTCCAAACTCTTCTTTTTTTCTCTCTCCAGTGGAGTGCTGGAACTTCTCCTCTGGAGAACCTGACTCTACAAAGACTCTGTCTCCGGTGAGTGTCCACCTAACTTGAGATCCTCGTGCTCCCAAACAGCAGCCGAATGGGGCTGAAGCCAGTTCCCAGGCTCCTGCTGGCTCCATAGCCCAAACCGATGTCTGTTTGCCTATTTCCTGAGCCACCGGTGGACAAGCCTCCTCCCAGGTCCCCTGACATATAGTGCTGGATCCCACAACTATCACAGAGGTACTTCTATTTGTGAGTGGATGCTGAATTTTAGTTGTTAAAGGAGGGAGGGGTGTTCTGGGTGGATCAGTCAGTTAAACATCTGACTCTTGATTTCAGGTCAGGTCATGATCTCAGGGTGGTGAGATGGAGCCTGTGTATGGCTCCATGCTGGGTGTGAAGACTGCTTAGGGTTCTCTCTCTCCCTCTGCCCCCCCCCTAAAAATATATATATGTATTTTTAAAGAAGCATCTTATGTCCTCGTTTCTTAAAAAAGGAAGGATATCTTATGCCTCCTTGAGTTGATGTCACTCTATCAGCTCCTTGACGATGCAGCTTTCTACACATAAGAAATTCAATTAATGTTAAACGGTGATGGTGACAATGGATGATGAATAACAACACTGAATTCTATTGAGACAACACAGGAATTGCCTCAGATCTCATTTATTCCATAAATATTTACCATCAACCTACTGTACACTGTTGGGAATATGAAGATGGGCTGGCAGCTGTACCAAGTGGGGCTCCTCCTGGGGGAAAAAGGGCTCCTCCTTGAGAATTCACACGTGAGTTTTGTCACCCATGTGGGACTGCTTAGATTAACTTTGGCCCTTCTTGCTTCAAGAGAATCTATGGGTCTTCCACAACAGGGCAAGAGATGGAAGGAGCTCAGTAGTAAGTGCCTCTCCCAACCATACCAAGGAATGATCAAGTGCAGAAATCCTATCTTGAAGAACAGGAAATAGCCTGCATTTGCACTTCTTCCCCAACAGAGGGCACCAATGGCCAGATTACAATAGCATCAGGCAATTAGACTTTATAATTTTATACTCCCCTCCACTCAGTGGTCCTCTAAGAGCAAGAAGGGATTGGGAGGGGGAAGTGAAAAAAATTGAACCCGCACTTTCTTCCCTGCTGATATCCAACCTCTGTACTAGACCTAAGATAGGAGAAGAGATGAAGATTTTAATTAGATACGACAGTAATGTTGATTTGGACTCTTTAAAACTTGAAAATGAGACGAGCCTTGAGACCTGTGGAATCTATAAAGACATCAAGAGGTGAGAAAGGATGATCTGTGGAATATGTTTGGAGGCAGAGGTTGGAGAAAAGC